ATCCCAGCACTTTGGGAGACCGAGATGGGTGGATCACGAGGTCAGGAGATCGAGACCATCCTGGCTAACATGGTGAAACCCCGTCTCTACTAGAAATACAAAAATTAGCCGGGCGTGGCGGTGGGCACCTGTAGTTCCAGCTACACGGGAGGCTGAGGCAGGAGAATGGCATGAACCCGGGAGGCGGAGCTTGCAGTGAGTGGAGATCGCGCCACTGCACTCCAGCCTGGGTGACAGAGCGAGACTCCGTCTGGGGGGAAACAAAAAAAAAAGAGGAACAAACAAAAACAGAAAGTAAGTTTATATTCCTATTCAGAAACAATCCACCATCACAATACCCATATACAAAGATGTTTGTTCAGAACACTCAGTATGTTCAACAATAGGGTTATATTATATCCATAAAATGGAGTACCAAGAAATTATGTTTTAGGCCAGGCATAGTGGCTCATGCCTGTAATCCCAGCACTTTGAGGCTGACGTGGGAGGACTGCTTGAGCCTAGGAGTTCGAGAGCAGCCTGGGCAACAATGTAAGACATAGTCTCTATAAAAAATAGAAATAATTAACTGGGTGTGGTGATGTGTGCTTATAGTCCCAGATACTTGAGGGGATCTCTTAATCCTGGGAGTCAGAGGTTGCAGTGAGCAATAATCACACTACTGCACTCCTGCCTAGGTAACAGAGGGAGACCCTGTCTCAACAACAACAACAACAACGTGTTTTAAAATTATTTTTCCAGTAAAGTTATTTGCCAATTCTCCTTTGAGACCAAGAAGGTGCTCTTCCCACACTGCTAATCTCCTGAACACTTCATAGAAAAAAATATCTAGGCCGGGTGCAGTGGCTCACGCTTGAAATTCTAGCACTTTGGGAGACTGACGCAGGCAGATCACTTGAAGTCAGGAGTTTTGAGACCAGCCTGGCCAACATGGTGAAACCCTGTCTCTACTAAAAATACAAAAATTAGCCAGGCACAGTGGCACGCACCTGTAGTCCCAGCTACTTGGGAGGCCGAGGCAAGAGAAGTGTTTGAACCTGGGAGGCAGAGGTTGCGGTGAGCCAAGATGCTGCCACTGCACTCTAGCCTAGGTGACAGAGTGAGACTTGGTCTCAAAAATTACAAAAAAAAAAAAAAAGAAAAAAACATCTAAAATGACAGACATATCAATTCAAAGTAGAATGCTAATTATGTGAAATTAGAAAAGGTCACAGAGACAAGGGCACATGTGGAGAACTAGACATGGTTTGTTATGCTGGATTATGGGGTGCAAGCACGGAAGCTATGAGAGATAAAGTTGGAAAGGTGGGCGTGGGCCTTGTATGCTGTGCTATAAAATTTGTTTTTCATCTTACAGATACTACAAAGTCTCTCAAAGATTTGAGCATGAGAGTGAGAAAATTTCAGAAGATTTCTGAGAAATCTTTCTGAGAAACTTTCTGAGAAAGTTTCAGAAGATTACTTTGTGTACAGTTTCAGAAGATTACTTTGTGTACAGTGTGATCTCATTTACCCCATCAAAGTTTTATTACGAAAATTTTAAAGTGTAATGAAATGAGGTCAGGAGCAGTGGTTCACGCCTGTAATCCCAGCACTTTGGGAGGCCGGGGCAGGCAGATCACCTGACGTCAGGCATTCAAGACCAGCATGGCCAATATGGCAAAACCCCATCTCTACTAAAAAATACAAAAATTAGCCAGGCGTGGTGGTGGGCACCTGTAATCCCAGCTACTCAGGAGGCTGAGGCAGGGAGAAGAGATTGAACCCAGGAGGCGGAGGTTGCAGTGAGCCGAGATTGTACCACTGCACTTCAGCCCAGGCGACACAGCAAGACTCTATCTCCAAAAAAAAAAAAAAAAAGAAAGGATTTCACAAAGAATTCTACATATACATCTTCTGAATGATCTCATATTAACCAACCAAAAAATATGGGCCAGGCATGTTGGCTTACGCCTGTAATCCCAGCATTTTCAGAGGCCGAGGCAGACAAATCACTGAGGTCAGGAGTTTGAGACCAGCCTGGCCAATATGGTGAAACCCCATCTCTACTAAAAATAGAAAAATTAGCCTGGCGTGGTAGTGGGCACCTGTAATCCCAGCTACTCAGGAGGTTGAGGCAGGAGAATCGCTTGAACCTGGGAAGTGGAGGTTGTGGTGAGCCGAGGTCGTGCTACTGCACTCCAGCCTGGAAGACAGAGTGAGACTCAGTCTAAAAAAAAAAATCATACTAAGGCTGGGTGCAGTGGCTCATGCTTATATAATCTAAGCACTTTGGCCAGGCACGGTGGCTCACGCCTGTAGTCCCAGCACTTTGGGAGGCCGAGGCGGGTGGATCACAAGGTCAGGAGATCGAGACCACGGTGAGACCACGGTGAAACCCCATCTCTACTAAAAATACAAAAAATTAGCCAGGTGCGGAGGCGGGCGCCTGTAGTCCCAGCTACTCGGGAGGCTGAGGCAGGAGAATGGCTTGG